TTTTTTTCTGAAGAAGGGTCTAGGCCCGAAACGCCAGCTTTCCTGCTCCTCTGATGCTGCTTGGCCTGCTGTGTTCATCCAGCTCTACACCTTGTTATCTCTGATCCCCTTTGATTACTTGTTTGCTTATGAGAAAGTGATTTTCGTTACACTCTTTAAGAAGCACGTTAGAAGTGTTAACTGAGGGATAACTGTAATACACCTAAAGTGTATTTGAATGGTACAAGCACAGTATACTAATGCAAATGATACAGGCTGAATGTATTGATGAGAATTACATTGGTGCAATATTTTGGCCAGCATTGTACCGACACAGTATCTTAGTAAGAAATATATAACACAGTACATCAGTCAGAAGAACAGAATGCTGTTTATTAGTGAGAATGACAAGATTACACTACATCAGAAAAAATAATACAGGCACAGCATTTTAGCCAGAATACTATAGGTGCAGTAGATTACTGAGAATAATGCAACCATATTATGTTTGTGGAAATCGTGTGAGTGCAGTTTATTTACAAAAATAATTTGAAAATGGGAAATTAACATGCATGGCATGGGGACTGTATATTAGTGAGAATAACAAACATGTAATGTTTAAGTTCAAATACTTTGAATGCAGTATGTTAAGATAATGTAGAAGGAGTGTATTCACAATATTATGAGTTTGATGTAATAACAACACAGAGTACATTAGTGCAAATGATTCATATGCAGTATGACAGCAAGAATAACATGGACACAGTGCAGTGTCTAGAGTGAGATGGGCACAGTGCATTTATGAGAACAACTTGATTCCATTTTATTACCTTGATAAGCATATAGTACTTAATAGGAATTTCACACTACAGTCAAACATACTTGTATTTTATATTGTGAATGCTGTATGTATAGTATAAACATAACTACTGAGTGGAGCAGTATCTTATTAAGACAGTAGAAGGCATTGGCACTGTTCTCATTTCTAATTGATCTTTTTCATCACAGCAAGTTTTTCTCACTTTGTTCCAGTGAACCACTAAGTGTCTAATAGCTCAGCACAAGCACTGTTTCCAGCCTTTGTATGGTGATGTCTAAAGTGACAGTTTAGTCTTAGAAAAAGGCAATATGATTTATTCAACTGTAGTCTTCCACTTCCATTGAGCACGTCTGGATAAGAACTGGTCAGTCCAGTTCCAGATTTTGAATGGAATTCAGTATTTGAATGTGAATGTTTAGGAAGAAGACTGTGCATGTGTAGCAAAATATACCTTACGAAACCTATTAGCTGATTTGATTTCAAACTGAGGGAGAGGTCCTACTCTGTATAGGGTTCAGTCTTAGAGATTGTCAGTATGATTTGCCTTGCTGGCAGGAAATGGCTTAACCAACAACAGGTTTTCGGCGAAAATGATGCAAGCACAGAAAATGAAGACGAGTCATATTAGAAGCAAAACGTTAACTCTGTTTCTCTTTCCGCGGACAGTGCCAAATTTGCTGAGTTTCTCCAGCTTTTTCTGCATTTATTTCAGAAATCTAGCCTCTGTAATATTTTGCTTTTACTCAGAGAAAAGGAATTAATCAAACTAAAGTAATAAAACGTGATAATGACCTCTCAGTGACCAATGTTCAGGCAGCCACCTTAACTTTGACTGTGTTGCTGATGTGAATTAAAACCTATTTATATTTTCAGCCCCACTGTAATTTTTAAGTAAGAACCTGCCCAAAACTGTCTTTTTGGCCAGTAACTGCCTTGTGCATTAGATGACTCAGTTTAGGCTTGCTTTTCCTTCAGGGATTTACATCCTTGATCGTCGTTTTAGATCTCTGGATGACTCGTGCAATCAACTGACCTCGTTCATCTACAGCTTCTGTCAACAGACTCGTCGACAGCGCATCATTCAGAGGAATCGCACAGAGCGCCTCTCTGATCTGCTGGACTGGAAGTATCTAGGAAGGGTACAGCTCAGAAAATCTTCTCAGTTCTAAAATAATTTTAATCGATTTTCAACTCCAGTCAAGTGTTAGTTTTGTGCAGTGACCTATTGCATAGTTTTAAAAGCCGGAAGGGCTTCATCACTTTCACACTTCGATTTTTTTGTTATATTCAGATTTCTGTACTCCCTTTCTTTGTTTTCCAGTCTCTACATTTTCTGTACGTCGGCTCTTGCCATTTATTTCTACAGGAGTTCTCATGATTATCCATGCTAATTGTATCAGAAGATCTGCAGAAACATCTAATTTGTCTGTCACAAAACAATTATTTATTAGGAGACAGTAAGGACTGCAGATGCTGGAAGCTAGACTCAGTGAACGTGGAGCTGGAAAAGCACAGCAGGTCAGACAGCATTACAATCTCTGAATTGACTCCTGTCTATCTAATTTATTGGAGTTCATTGTGGACGAACATTTGCTGTCGATAAAGGGGAACCAATGAATATACTGTATTTGGATTCCCAGAAGGCATTTGATAAGGTGTCACATCAAAGATTTTTGTGGAAAGTAAAAGCTGACATTGTGGGAAGCAACACATTGTTGTGGATAGAAGATTGGCTGGCTAACAGGAAACAGAAAAATGGGTCATTCTGTAGTTGACAAGATGTAATGAGTGGTGTGCCACAGGGATCAGTGCTAGAACCTCAATATTTACCAGTTTATAGAAATTAGTTGGATAGAGGGATGGACTAAATTGCTAAGTTGGCTGATGACACAAAGATAGATAGGAAAGTAAGTCATGAAGAGGATATAAGGTTAAATGAGTTAGCAAAGATTTGGCAAGTGGAATATAATGTGGGAAAATGTGAAGTTGTCCATTTTGATATGAAGAATGAATAGAAGCACGTTATCTAAATGGTGAGAGAGTTTCTAGTGCTAAGATTCAGAGATCTGGCTGTCATCATGCATGAATCATAAAAGGTTAGTCTGCAGATGCAGCAAGTAATAGAATGATTTTGTTTATTGTGAAGGAGGGACAGTGAACTGCTGCATGCTTCTGTTTTCATGAAGGCAGCTCATTACCACCTTTTCAAGGGCAACTAGAGACAGGCTGGCCAGCTGGTGACACTCATGTCACCTTAATTTAAAAAAAGTGGAGGTGATATTTCAGTTATACAGAGCTTTGGTGAGACCACATCTGGAATAGTGCAGTAATTAGTGAAATGTGCAGTATTAGTCTCCTTATTTAAGGAAGAATATCACCACATTGGAAGGAAGTCAGAGAATTTTTATCAGACTAATACTTGGAATGGATGCGTTGCCTTGTGAGGAATGGTTAGACAGCTAGGCATGTACATACTAGAGCTTAGAAGGGTATGGATGATTTGATTGAAACATGTAAGATCCTGAAAAATCTTCACAAGGTAGATGTAGAAAGTCTGTTCCCCATTGCAGAAGAACCTAGAACTAGAGCTCAGTATTTTAAAATAAGTGGCCGCCCATCTAAGGTAGAGATTAGGAGAAAGAGATAACACAGTTTGGAACTGGAGGAACATAGCATTCTTCAGAAAATTCTGAAGTGTTCCAACCCGAAATGTCAACTTTCCTGCTCCTCTGCTGCCTGGCCTGCTGTGTTCCTCCAGCCCCACACTGTGTTATCTCTGACTCCAGCATCTGCAGTTCTTGCTATCTCAGAGATTAGGAGAAATTTTGTTTTTCTCTCAGGGTGATGAATCTTTGGGAATTTCTTCCTCAAAAGCTGGCTTAAAGAAAGCCTTTAAATATTTTTACACCAGTGGTAAATAGATCCTTGATAAAGTACAGGGGTGAGAAATTATCGGGATTAGGCACAAATGTGGAGTAATAAAACCAGTATGTGGTCTGAAGGGTCACGTATCCTATTTTTGCTCCTTTTTCATAAATACGTGAATGTTGAACTTTATGTTTTTACCTGCTTAAATCCAGTTGTGCTGTACTTTGCACTGATGAAATTTAAATATGAATGAGTTAAAAATGCCCTATACTTTCACATTGGTAAAACTGAAGCTATTTTCTCCAACCTCTGCCAACAAACTATCCAGATCTATATACCACCCTTTGCAGACACGATATCTTCTTCACAACTTGCTTTGCTACCTATCTTTGTATTATCTACTAAATTGGCTGTAATATAATCACTTCATTCAAGTCATTGATATAGATTACATATGGTTGAGGCCACAGCTTCACCCACTGTAGGACTAGTGATTCTGTTTCCACAAATTCCAGTTTGCCTACCTGAAAATGACTTATTTATCCTGCTGTCCAAGCACTGCATCTTGCTCGTTGCAAAGCTCTGTTGAAACATTGCCACATTGACACCTTTTTCTTAATGTTTAAGTGCTTCCTTCAAAACTTTCAAATCGAGCATTTCATTGCTTTGCTTTTCCCGTTACTCTCCTTGCTTGTTCTCTTCACTGCAAATGTGACACATTTTCAGAGTTGTTTTGCACATGAAGAGTGGTATAGAATTATTTATGTTTTGGATCCTCACTATACATGAGTACTCCCTAAATGAGAGTAATGTTGTTTCTTTATGAAAAGTATATGGAGAGATTGCTTCTTTGTTAATGGAATGCATTCTTGACTATGTTTTCAGTATTATGTACACGCAAGACAGTTGGCGTTAGCAAAGACTTTTCCGGATTCCTTTACATCTTCACTGTGGGAACCTGAAGTGGTAAGTGAAGTCTTTGTTAATGTGGGTGTTTGTTTATAATGTTAATTATTAGCATCGTTTTAGGAGTTGCTTGAGAAGAAAATATTCGTTCTTGTTGTTCAGACTATTTACTATCTCTGTACGATTACTTCAAGCAAAATAAAATCAAATTTGCTTGGCCTGCTGTGTTCATCCAGCTCTACACCTTGTTATCTCAGATTCTCCGGCGTCTTGGAACTTCAAGACAAAATTAGATTACTTCTAAATTCCATCAGTGACATTATGTCACATCTGTACTTTTAGGTGACCCTTTTTGCTCCAACCTTTGGACTGTATTACATTCCACCACTTGCAGCTCATAACACAGCCCTCTGTAATTTTGGGTATTTGAGTCCTCATATTGATGTTCTTGCTCTTCAGCATTATATCCTGTATATCATGGTTCACATATTGAGGCTGTACATTTTGTATTTAGCTCGGATTTTATTATTATTGCCTTTTCTCAACTGCAAACATTTTTTGCTCTGTGGATTTGACTTCTGTTCATTTATCTTTGGAAAAAAGTACTGAATATCTAAAAAAGTATGATGTGTATAAATTAAGTGGTATGAATGGCTGCATACAGAGCCCCAATGCAAAAAAATTCCTAAGCATTTCATCCAAGTACAGGAATTAGCAGAGTATCAGAAAACAAAGATAGTAGGAACTGCAGATGTTGGAAAATCTGAGATCTCTCTCCTTCCAGGACCTCTTTGTGGGTGGGAGGTCACCTGAAGTGATGAGGTTGTGGATGGTTTGGGAGATGATGTTTTGGCGGTCGGGGGTGGGGTCATGATCAAGGGGGCGGTAAGAGGAAGTGTCGGAGAGTTGGCATCTGGCCTCAGCGATGTAGAGGTCAGTGCGCCATACTACAGTTGCGCCTCCCTTGTCCGTGGGTTTTATGGTGAAGTTGGGATTGGAGGGGAGGGAGTAGAGGGCTGCACGTTCTGTGGGGGAGAGGTTGGAGTGGGTGAGAGGGGTGGAGAGGTTGAGGCGATCAATGTCTCGACGGCAGTTAGAGATGAAGAGGTCGAGGGAGGGTAGGAGGCCTTGGGGTGGTGTCCAGGGGGAGGGGGTGTGTTGGAGGTGAGAGAAGGGGTCAGTAGGGGGAGGGTTAGGCTCACAATTAAAGAAGTAAGTGCGGAGGCGGCGGAAAAACTGTTCAACGTCCAAGTGTGAGCGGTATTCGTTGATGTTCGGGTGGAGGGGGATAAAGGTGAGCCCTTTACTGAGGACTGACCGTTCGTCCTCAGTAAGGGGGAGGTCTGGGGGGGTGGTGAAGACTCGGCAGGGCTGGGTGCTGTTGTCTCCTCTGGAGCTGCTGGCTGTGGAGGCGGTGGGCGAAGCGATGTCGGTGGTGGGCGGAGTGACATCGGTAGTGGGCGGAGTGACGTCGGTTGGTGGGCGGAGCGACATCGGCGGTGGGCAGAGTGATGTCGGTGGTGGGCGGAGCGACATCGGCGGTGGGTGGAGTGATGTCGGTGGTGGGCGGAGCGGAGTCAGTCAGTAAGTCCTGGACGTTGGCAGCAGCGGTGTCAGCAGGTGCGTCTTTGATGTCTGTGGTGTTGGCCTCGGAAACGGAGGCGGCGGCATCAGCAGTGTGTCGATGGCATTCGCTGTACCGGAAGTGGCGTACCCAGTGGCGGCGGATGTGACGTCATCCGTGGGTGCTCCGAAAGTGGCCACATGGCCAATGGCGGTGGGCACATTGTGGCGTAGGTCCTGGGTAGGGTTGGGGATTTGGGGGGTGGAGGAGGCCTGTGTTGGGTGGCAGACACCAGTAAGTTTAGTATACTTACGGTTTTTAGTGTCCAATAAAGCTGAGTAGAATTGTGATTTCAGGTTGTGGATCCTGCGAAAAATGTAAAACAGGAGAGGTCCTTTGCAGGTCTGGGAGAGGGAGGCTCTGAGCTGGGGTAGGCTTGACTGCAGTACCAGGAGATGCTGGCGCATTGCTGCGAGTGTGTGTTTGAGGAGTCGCAGGGAGAAATGTTTTTGAAGGATATCAATGTTATAAATGTGGCAGTCGTCGCAGTTGGGGCCAAATTGGAAAAGCCTAAATGTGGACTGTGGTCCATTTGGGATGATCCGGTTCTGTAGGCAGGTACTAAGAAAGGTAATGTGGCTGTAGTACCTGGTTTGCTTCAGGATGTGGTCGAGGAGCTTCAGGGCCGAAGAGATTACGAGAGAGTTGCAGTGGGAGAGAGATCCACTGAGGTCTTTCCAGAGAGAGGAGGGTAACTTCTTCAAGGTAGGCATCCTTAGAAGAGGCTTCACAATGGG